CTGCCAGGCCAGCCCGATAAGATCGTTTTTTGAAGAAAAGTAGTTTTGATAGTAGTAACTATTACTTCTGCCAAGGGAATGAAATTACCATGTTTGAGATGCGTTTTGTGCCCTGGCATATATATGTACATACATGTGTATGTACGTATATATACACATATGTAGACATGAAATAAGATTCAAAGACAAAAAGGAAGAAGGACATTCTTTTAAAATGCCATTTTTCTCTACAAACAGCAGTTTTTGTTTTTTCTTATTTGCTTATTATTTGTAGGGATCTACCTGTCATCAGTGCCGCCAGAAAACTATTGATACAAAAACAAACTGCAGAAACCCAGACTGCTGGGGCGTTCGAGGCCAGTTCTGCGGTCCCTGCCTTCGAAACCGTTATGGTGAAGAGGTCAAGGACGCTCTGCTGGACCCGGTAGGTGCCTCAAAGGGGTTGGTCCTCTGGGATTGAAGGTCAGCCACAAGCTGATAAGGCCAGGGAAAGGACACCGAGGAAAGGATTGAGCCCTTAGTGTTATGGGGTGTTCTTTCGGGGGAGGGAGATTAATTCATAGTGTTGGTGCTGCTCCTTCCAGAGTGCTTGGGTATGGCTATTCAAGAGAAGTTGATTCTCCGTTTATCCTGGGTAGTTGCTGTGTAACTTTCTGTCCTGGATTTCCTAAGGAAACATGAGGCATGACTAATGCATATTAACCATTTGACAATTTTTTTTATCCCCCCCAAAAAAGGTTTAAATGTAATTGATCCCCACCTTAATGGTTAAGCAGTTGACAAGCAGGGGAGAAAAGTCAGGTCTCATTTGGTTGTTCCTGTTCACAATTCTCCTTCAGAACTGGCATTGCCCACCTTGTCGAGGAATCTGCAACTGCAGTTTCTGCCGGCAGCGAGATGGACGGTGTGCCACTGGGGTCCTTGTGTATTTAGCCAAATATCATGGCTTTGGGAATGTGCATGCTTACTTGAAAAGGTAATGGCTTTTTTTTCCCCTCTTCCATATCTGAATCTAATATTCACTTATATGTCTTAATAAAAAGATGGTAGAAGTCAGAATGGTGGTTATCTCTAAGGCAGGGTGAGAGGTCGTGGGGGGTGGGTATTGAAGGGGTACATGGGGACTGTTGGGTACATTTTATATCTTCATCTGGTTGGTGGTAACCCAGGGGGGCAGGGTGTATGTAAAATTCAAGTTGTACATTTAAGATGCTTGCACTTGCCTGTATGTATGTTATAGCTCCGTGAAAACATTCTGACATGTTTCCTTTTCTCATTCACAGTCTGAAACAGGAGTTTGAAATGCAAGCATAATGTCTGGAAGACTAACTGCCTTCCACTTCTCAAATCTCCCTGGTTAAACTTTTCAGTTTTGTCATTAATCAAAACCTGAGTTAAGAATCTTGATAATCAATGTTTTATAGGAATCTCAAGTCAAGTTAACTTCATTAGACACACACGTGTTTCTGGAGCATCACGGAAGGTATATTGCGAGTTTTACTTTGCTCTCCTGCAGTTTCTCCTCTGCTTCCCCACCCCCACCTCATAGCATCCCCCTCTATTTCTGGTGGTCCTCTTCCATCGCTAAGTTTCTGGATTCTTTTTAAATGAAGATTTTATGAAAGCATATTTGATTTAATTGGTATTGAAATAGCCCTGGAGTCCATGCATAAAACCTAAGCACTTAGAAACACTGTAATAATGTTAACTAACTAAATCTGTTCAATTCCAGAGAACAGCCTTCTAACTTGTTTACACAGAAACGAGGAGTATGATTTAGTGTTCATTCTAGTCGACATTTTTAACATAAGCAAGGCACAAAAGTCTTAAAACCATGTGTAAAAATTAGGTAATTGTTACAAAGTGGAGTATATTACTTCAAAAGCCTCTCATGAGAATATTCCATGTATTGTGCTTATCATACAAGTTGTCATAGTTGAGACTTAAGTTGCTGCTAATTTCTTCTGCCATAAGGTTAGGTGGTATATCTGACTTACATGATCTGAAGGTTTGTGGGCAATGTTATACTTAAAATTATTGTGGAAAAGAAATCCTGGGAAATTAGGATGGTGAGACTTCAGGAGTAGGCTGATTTGAATCTTGGTATAAAACTTCAATCTAATCAGTTTGTCAAGTTAATTTCAGTTCATACGTAAGGTATTTCAAATAAATTCTTGCACCATTTTTTGTGGAAACTTCATATTAATAACTAGTCTATGGTTCTTTGCTGTTTCTTGAGGAAATTATAAACTAGGTATGGGGTTCATGTTTTGGTTTTAAGCACTTTTATAACAATGAGAAGTGCCTTTTTGGAGATGGATAACTTTCAACAGTTTGTTAACTTGACATCTGCCAATTTAGTTTCTGGGCAGGTTTCATGTGTCGTTCTTCCCCCCTCCTTTGCATTAATCAAATTGTTTGGTAGAGGTAGAATCTAAGTGTTTGTGAGTCCACTTTATTTGCATGTGTAGCCTATTGCTGTGCCCATTCAGTGTTTGCTGCATAATTGGACCTTGACGTGATAAGTGTAAAATAGCTTTTGAACTGCAATGCTTTTATACAAAGGTTTTTATTTTAATAATAAAACGTTTTGCTCTAACTTGTCTGCTTTTTTTTTAAAAAATACTCAATCTTACTGCACTTAATTTTTTTCCTCATATTTAAATAAAAAGTCCATTTCTGCCTTTTCTAGAAGTCTCCCTTTTGGCTTAAGTTTTGGAAGGTCAAGAGCGAGCTCTTTCGAACTTGTTGATGTGACTAATAGCTGTGATCAGAAAATGGACTAAGAAGACAGCCACATTGTCTGATAGAAAACAATACATGCCCCTGAAGTTTTACAATATTGTTTTGTTTTCTTTTTACCATTTGCCAACCCAAGAACTAACAGTGATTTCCCGATACCTGGCTTGCTTTTATCCATCATTCGAATATGTATTAAATGTGTGCTGTGCCTTGAGGCCTGTTGCAGGACTTGCAAGAATCAGAAGACAAAAAAGGCATGGTCAAAAAGCTCTCACAACCCGATCTTTTAGAGCAGGGGTTGGCCAACTATAGCCTGTGGGCCAGATCCTGCTGCAACCTATACTCATAAGGCACTTGAACTAAGTATTTTTTTTATATATACATTTTTAAAAAGTTGTTAAAAAGCATGTGACAGTGTGGCCCACAAAACCCTAAGTATTTACAGAAAGTTTGCTGTGTCCTGCTCTAGACTTACATAAGAAGCCATGTTTACCCCACACATACTCATTTGGGGAGAAGACCACACTAAATGAAGTTGTACTCTTGCTATTCTATGTAGATTCAAAAGAAATCAATAACTTTTGTTTCATAAACTCTTGGAATCTTAAGAACCCAAATTGTAATCCAACCTTATTAGGTATGTCATTGGGAAGGCTTAAATGTTTAGAGTTAATGTAAGTTGATCCTTATTTGGAAAATTTTTGTGTTTTAATATGAAGTAGAACTAATATTTTCCATTAAAAATGTTGACTATAACAATTGCTTCTAATGCCTTATCCTTGAAGGATTTACAATCCAGTAGAGGAATGAGGGGAAAAAAAAAAAAAAAATGAACTAAGAATAACGATCTCAATGGGAATGAAAGGAGGAAAAATAATTGACATTTTCCTATCACCAAGCATTTTAAGTCATCAATGAGTCCATGGTTTTTGTGGTGACTCCCATCTTGCATTAAGGAAACCCTAGATCAATTGCTCAGTGTCATCCTTGACTGTGGGAGCCCACACATCCCACTGCAAAGCTCCAGATGCCATCCTTATAGCTGGGAGGACTTGAGTTTTAACAATTTGAGGTGTGAAAAGTAGTGTTATGGTGACTATGCTCCAGTAACCACTTTTATATTTGTTCCTGTAATTTGAGTTCCCTAGGTAGAAATGATTTCTCCTTTTTTACCCCCACTTTTTAATGGGTTAAGAAATGAAAGAAACTAAAAAGACTTTCACAGTGAAGGGTAAAGGAAGTAGCTAAAGGATGCTGCAGGAGGGGTTTATTTTTGTTGTATTTTGCTTTTAGAAAAATGGGAGGGGAGCTCTTGCTGGCTCGAGGTCAGATAGGAAATAAGGTCATTTGCATACCAGGAGAATGGAAGAGTTCAGTGCTTTGAGGTAGGTAAGGGGGGGTGGGGAGAGTATTAGGTACTGAAAAGAAAGTGATAGCAAGTCTCAGGGGAATAAAAGGTGAGCTACATGTTGTATTATGTTAATGCTGACCACACGTTTCTCAGGTATCTCAAGGATGAGAGGTTGAGGAAAATGCCCAATGTCACAACCAAAGTGGCAGAACTAGATTTGATGCCAGGACTTTATCCTTTTTTTCCTTTTAAGCTGAGCTTGCCTTAGCAGGAGTCAAAAGAGCGGAGAAGGGGATTGTAAATGAGGTTCTGTCAGGGTGAACAAGGGTGTCTTGGGTGCTGGGTCAAGCCTGGCTGAGATGACTTATAGAAACCCTGCCGAGTAGGGAGACAGGTAGGGCTGGGAGGGGTGGAAGGCTGGTGCGGATTGGGGAGCTTGTACTGGAGGCGAAGACGGGTGGAGAGCAGGTTCGGGAGGAATGAGGGAGTGAGATGGTAGGAAACCAGGGCATCGGATTATCCAGCATAGAGGTTGGAAACCCCTGAGGCTCTTAACTGCAGGGCATTAAAATTCTGTGAGTAGGAGAGGACTCCTTAGGTAACTACAAGGTTGACAAAGGAAGAGAAAAAGTTGAGGGCAAAGACTTCCCAGGGCTGTTGCTATGAGACAATGGAGGAGGGATTAGCGCCTGGAGTAGCAGTACGGAGCTACTCTGCTTGGGAATATGTAAGGAATGGATTTGAGTGCAGAGGAAATGGCATGTTCTGGGGAGAGTCCTTTATCCATTATAATATCCAGGTGATGAAAGACCTGAGGGAGAGCAAGGAACAAAGGAGATACCACTCAAAGCTAAAAGCCATTAACATTTTCTTTCAGTCTCCCTTGTGTTTTGTTTTATATGGTAGCATAGATGCTACATGCACAACTTCTTTAGCTTTAAGAAGATTTGGCCCACGTGGTCCTTGATAGCTTCTTTTGTTTCTTGGACAAGACCAGATGTTCCAGGCTCCCCTTGTACATTTTCTGCCCCATACCTGGAATCAGCCGTTTCTCTGAAGTGCTTTGTTTTCAAAATACATTTCTTTCATATCTATTATCTTATATTCATGTGTATATATACACACACACATATATCTTCTTATACTGTATATATTAGTATTGTAGATAAATATATTTATAACAGTAACATTGCTATATATACATATGTATGGTTTCAGAATTATAATACCAATATTATTAAAAGATTAATTACTGAAAACCTTTTAAGATTTTTTTGTTTTGATTCTTAGTGTAAATCCTAGATACAGTCAGATTAGTGTGTTTTAAAATCATTTTGAACAGCTACTTTTTATGTGGGTAAGCCAATTTGATATATTGTTGGGTCCATATGTTTGATTTTTGCTTTTGATTTTAAGGATTTAATCTTTTTATAATGATGTAAAATGATTACATATTTCCAAAGTTAAGCCTACAAAATAAGGTGATTTTAAGAGAAGTATAGATTATTTCCCTTTCCCTTCTACCTTGATCCTTCTCTCCCTCTATAGGAAACCATTTTTAAAAATTTTGTGATTTATACTTTGATTTTTAAAAATGTAAGCAAAAACAGGTGTATGTATTTGTACCCTCCTCTTGCCTTTTTCATTGTATATATGGGAAAGAAAAGCATAATTAATTTTATTACATGAAGAGTATTATCCAAAGATCTCTGGAGTATACTCACATATATGAACATGGAATTAAGCGTTAAGGTTTCAGAGAAAAAAAAAGTATTGTGGAGAGTGGTTTTCTCTCCTACTCAACCACCCAAGGACTAACTGTTCTGCGAGTTTATGCTAAGGAAGTCAAATTCCCTCTTCCCACACAGCTACTAGGCAAGCCATATCGTAGGAATGAGTATTTCAATTTTCTCTTATTTCTGTTTGGTTACCCATACTTTAATAGAGTGATCCTCAAGTTTGTCTTCTAAATTGAATAGCTGTAAATGTTTTTCACTTCTTAATGACCATCCAGTATAGCTTTTAAAAAAGTCATAATCTCCACTGGTGCTTGCCAATTTCCAAGACATGACCATTTTGAGTATCCTGCTGCTTAAGGAGGAAAAATATGTAAATAAAATTCCTTTATGCAAATGTTTTCTGCAACTCTCATTGCCAGCCAAATTCTTGTAAATCATGATAAACAGATGCTACTGAACTAAATGACTAAGTAAAATTATGGAGATAGATTCTATTTATCTTATTTTTCAGTGTTGGGGAGGTAGAAAAGGATATTAACCAAATTTTATCTGTCTGTGTGATGATTAGGGCAGACACCCAGAACTCTATTAATTGATTGCTGCAAGGCAAGATGTGGGACTCAAGAATTGGAGAGTTGTCCCTGGTAAGGGAAAAGTTCTATTGCAACTTTACTTTGCTTTACCAGAGAATCAGGTTTTGGAAAAAAATCCAATATCAAGCTTGCTAGGTCTCTGCATGATTAGATTTTTGTTACTGTTTTTTTCTTAACTTTTTTAGAAATTGAAGTCAAATTCACATAACATGAAATTTACCATTTTAACCACTTCCAAAT